CCCAGTACAAAGTTAAAATGAACATCTGGCAAACACAAACACAAATCGTCTGCTTTCCTTCCCGGCTCCAGAATTTATCTATCCTGGAAAAACAAACAAAACCCCCATTACTCCAAAGCTCCCTTTCAATGGAGTTGGAACTGTATGGTAAAAGCTCCCTTATATGACAGAAAAGAATCACTTCTCCAACGTTTTCTTCCAAAGGTTGTTTATTCATATGTTACATTATTAAATCTGTGACGTTTGAACATGAACAGCTCAGATCTGGAACATGAGGGCTTCCTGAGAAACCTGGAGGATTAATGACTCTCTAATGGCAGCAATGATAACACGAATGCAAGTATCCATGGCAAAAATGGGCACTTCAAGCCATGTCACTGCCTCCCAGAACAGCAACACCAGTGCCGGGTAAGTACAATGAGTAATTCTGGCCTTGAACACAGGCTGTGTGTTTAAGCAGACTGCTCTATAGGTAACAGCTGCCCAGAGACAAACACTCCAGCAGCTCCACGGAGAAGGGGCTCCTACGTGAGCTCAGCTTCAGTTTCAGACATTATAAAGCCTCCACAGAAAGAAGGTGCACAAAACCAGATTTTGTTAAATCCTGGTGTTCATGGATTTACTTGGATTATCTTCATTTCTGTTGGCACATCCTAGCTCTAGCAGCGATTTTTAGAAAGACTTATACTGAATTCTCACTTGAAATATTTTGTACAGTTAGAAAAGCAATAACCTCTTAACATAGGACATAAAGAGATCAAAATAATGGAATAGTAAATAACAATTTCTGCTTGATTTTTAAGTGCAGGGCACTTTTTTCTGTAACGGAAGCACCAGACTGCTTACGTTTCAGTAGTCCTTAAGGCTTTTCCTCCACCCGACTGCAATGCCTCAGTCCAAACCGATTCCCCACTTGGAAAGGACTTGCGCGCCCATCCTATGGCAAGTCCGTCGCTTCGGGAGATCAGTTACGTCTAACCTGCAGTCCCCTCCAGAATCCTGCTGCTGCTGCTCTGCGGCAGCGCAGAACCCAGGAAACGTGCTCCTGAAACACCCCTTGCTCATCCTCCCGGAGGATCGGCCACGCCGCTGGGCAGGGACACCCGGCGAACACTGACCCAAGGCTCACCTTTCCAGCCACATTACTGTGAGGACGAATAGTCTCTGGTTAGGAAACAAGCCTATCAAGTGTAGCCATAGGATGTTATGCCTGCACTGGACCCCATTCAAACTAGCATTGCATATGTGACCTTTTTTCTCCAGACAGTGATAGCTCCAGTTGTTTGGATGCCGCTACATAAAGGTGCTCGGTGAAGCGGTCAGAGATCCCTCTGGTTTTCTTGCAAGGTTTTCAGAGCGCAGAGCTCGCTGTAAAACTGACCTCTGCTCGTTAAAAACACGGTGTTCGCACTTCGACGGCGACTCCTCCACCGCCACCGGCCGCGCGCCGTGCCGCCGCCGGGCTACCACCGCCTCCTTCCCGGCGTACCTCAGCGCTGCTCTCACGCGGCTTCCGCCCGCCGCCATCTTGTTCCTGGCGGGTGGCGCAGGCCGGCGGGTGCCATGGACGCAGGTGAGGAGCGCTGGGGGAGCTCGGTCCGGCGGGGCCGCACGGGAGCCGGGGCTGGCAGGCACGGGGCAGGGTCTGAGCCCGAGCCCGAGCCCGAGCCCGAGCCCGAGCCCGAGCCCGAGCCCGAGCCCGAGCCCGAGCCCGAGCCCGAGCCCGCTTCTCCGGAGAAGGGGGCTTGGGGCGCGCCCCGTCCCGTCCTGCTCTGTTTCGGCCGGGCGCGGCCCCTCTGGCTCCGCTGCCGCCGTCCGTGACCGGAGAGGGCGCAGTGGTGGCCGTGAGCCTGAAGCCTTCCCGGAGCTCGGGCACCGCTTCCGCGGGTACCTCGACCCCGTTGTTGATAGGTGCTCATGTGAGGATTCAGCTGCGGATCTGAGAGCAAGAGGCCTCCAGGCTTCCTGCTGTTACCTTTTGCTTCACTATAAGCCAAGTGTCCGTGGGCATTCCTTCGTTCTGTGCACGCACTTGGCTGTAAAAACAAACCAGCCTCAGCATCTCCTAATGCAGGCCAAACGCCGATTGATGTAATGAAGGCTTTGCTAAATTAATCTGTATTATTATGGAGAGTTACTGCTGCTTCTCGTGTTTAAACACGTTTTCTGGTTTTGTGTGGCTCAAACCGAGAAAGTTTATTTCAAATCTGTGGTGTGGGTGAAATTCTTACTGCTTTTTATCAGATGACACGGGGAATCGACTTCGGTTCCAGCTGGAGTTAGAGTTTGTTCAGTGTCTGGCGAATCCAAATTACCTCAACTGTGAGTACTGGACAGTAACTATTGGAATGAGTATAGTAACCTGAGGAATGAGTATAGTTTTAATGTTGTTTATTATTACTGGGAATGTTAAACAGGAGGGAGAGGGCTAAACAAAGAAAAAGGAGTGGGTCTTTCACAGCGTAAAGGTGGTCTGTCAGTAATTTAATTTGTATTTCTAACAGGTGAGTTTTAAAAAATGTAAAATGTTTCATTACTCGAAATAAAAAATAATGCATCTACCTGGGGGATCAAAAAAAAAAGTTGAGGTGTGTAGTTAAAAAGTAATGTCAAGTTAACAGTGTTCCTGATCTGAAAACAGAATTTCAGACACAATACATAATGCCCTTCCAGTTTTTATGCCAAGTCAAAATTTTCTGTTTCAAAAAGCTGGTTTCTTCCTTGGTGTTTTATAAAAGATACATACTGTCAGGGTTGACATACAAATATATTTTTTCTGTTTCTTTCCTAATTTTTAATTATCAAAATTTGCTTGTAATCATGAAGTTCTGACCATTGTGCCTCTCTGTAGTTTTGTGAATACTTATTCTTCAAGGCTGACAGATTTTTTTTTAATGCATCTGTAACCAACAGTTCTTTATTTGTCATTTCAGTTCTTGCACAAAGAGGCTATTTCAAAGACAAAGCTTTTGTAAATTATCTTAAATATTTACTTTATTGGAAAGAACCTGAATATGCAAAATACCTGAAGTAAGTGTTAAAGTCACTTTGGTTTCTGCATTTTAATGATTTTGTTTACTTTCTGTTATGTACTGTACAGCAGCATGTCAGTAATTGATTTCCACCTGTAACCTTACCTTTGTCTTCCCCGCTGTGTTTATATGCATCATAAATTTTCCTGTTTTCCAACAGTGCAGATGTAGCAATAGAAACGAATAGAAAACTTGTCTTTCAGGGGTTGTGCATGGAATCTTCCCTTTGCAGCCTTCATCTGCACTTTGGCATTTGTTGAACATAAAACTATTGACCGTTATGGTAAAGAACTACTTCAGTTAGGCCCAGTAAATACATGTTGAGAGTAATTCTGCATTGTTGATGCTTACATGAAACAAACGATGTCTTGCATTTTTGTGAGTATGCAAACTCCCTCTTGGTCGTGTTCTTTGAGTTCTGGAAATGGATATTGTAGTTGTTACATATTTGCTTTAGTGAAATCTAGCCATTAGAAAAGCTACTCTGAGCAAGTATGTATATACATTTATAAGCTGTTGGTGGACTTCTTGTTTCCTAGCCTAATACTGAAACTACTGAGTTACAACGTGTAACAGTGGAATATGTACAGTCTTTGGTGTTCATCACATACATAACAGAACTGAAATAAAGAACTGCAGAATTTCTGGAGACTCCAGTTTTAATGCATCTCGCAAAAAACTGTATTAAAGGGCCTCTATTTTTAATGCAGGTATCCTCAGTGTTTGCATATGTTAGAGCTGCTCCAGTACGAACATTTCCGCAAAGAACTGGTGAATGCTCAGTGTGCCAAGTTCATTGATGAGCAGCAGATTCTTCACTGGCAGCACTATTCCAGGAAAAGAATGCGCCTCCAGCAAGCACTTGCAGAGCAGCAGCAACAGAACAACACCTCTGTAAAATGAGACCATGTGGGAGCATGTTGATGAGGTGACTTTGTCAACTTGAGTGCTTAGGAGAGGAAGGAGCCCTTGTGTAGTTTGGCTCTCGGGGGTGTACATTTCATTGTTTTATTTATTGACTTTTTAAACATTTCATCTTGTTTAAAAATCCAGGACTGATAAAACCTCTGCAGTTTATTTTGGAGCATGGACAATTTTGTAAGAGCATTACTGCAATTATCGATTCCTTTTGATTTTGAAAAAGAAATCTGACACTACTGACATTTAAATAACTAAAAGTGTAGCTCAGAAGTCTGTTCTTAGGCATTTTCCCTAGAGAATAATGATGTATTTTAAGTGTGACTAAGAACTCCGCCGTGTACTACTTTCTGTAACTGCAGGATGAGCAAAGTTCAAGTAATGGTGTTCTACAAAATCAAAATTGTGGATTTTTGCCTTGAAACCAACCTGAGCTATTACTTGTTATTTTGGTTTACCTGGTAATCCTTGTTGCTGGGGGTCATATAGAAAACAAAGTGTGACAAGAGGACTGCAGGAGTGGAGCAGAGATAAGTAATAATAAACTTTGCAGATACTCAGAAGGAAATAGGCTGTAGCTGTGTCTATTCCATTACAGTCAGCTTACTTTAATCTTGGCTTTCTGCCAGTGAAGTAGTGGCTGCTCCTGGTTTCTCTACAGGATGTGTAGTAAAACCAATTTGTGTTATACAAAGGTGTACATGCTCTAGCAGGATTTGAGAAGCATTTGTCATTTATTCCTGTGTAGTTTGTATTGTAAGAACACAGATATTAGCAGTTTCCAGGGGTTTATATTTCATAAGTGACACCAAGACTTGTTGGCCTTCAGCTTATCATACTTAAGACTGAACAAATAAACCAGTAAACATTTTGACATTCAGTAGCTTCAGCAGCTATGTGAATTCAGATTTACGAAGAATAAGGATTTTTTTTGTTTTTCCAACCCCCTACCCCTTACTGTTAAAGGTATAATAGCAGTTAAGCCTTTCTCTTCAATAACTGTAGGCTGCACTCTCCATTTTTAACATGAGCACAGCTCCTTTGAAAGGAGACTGTTCTCAAACTCAAGTTTATTTTAACATGAAAAGAAAGATACAGGGTTTTTTTTTTTTGCAAGATTTCAGTGGAAGGTTGGGACCTAGAATTTAATTATATTTATCTTGACTAGTCAGAAGTAATTAACCATAAAAGTTTTAAGAAAGGTTAAGGATTCCTTGAAAGGACGCCACAAACAACTTGAGATGAATGTCTTCAGAAATGATTGACTACTGGAGGACTTAGTCTTCAGTAAACAACATACGCACAAGCTCTGCTTTAAAACATTCTTCTTCAACCAGCTTCTGAGGCTGAAATAAAAGTTAAGATGCTTTAGGGGGAATTCAAAACCGCGTTCTAGACTACAGCTATTTGTACTTACTAACATTAGCCATACTCCAGCAATTGTTTTTCTGGGGAGGGTGAGGTGGAACAAGCAAGGTAGGAATAACTGGAAAATGCCTGAGGGTTTTGCGGCCTTGGAAGAGGCATTTCTGAGAAAGTAATTGTTAATTTAAATAGATGGACAAGTTAAAACTTGAGCTGCACTCCATTTGAATCAAGAGTATACTGCAGATAGCTTCACTCCTGTAATTTAGCATTTGGATTTGTTTTAAATTTGAGGAGCTGCAAGTCAGGAAACTAACAGTATATTGCTAACAATTTTCTCTACCTCTCAACCACTGCATGTTAAATTTACCTATTGCATTTTTGTTTATTATAGAAAACGTTATGCTGAAAGCACAGTGGCTTTCTCTTGAGGAACTATGTGAGGCAGAAAATGTGCAAGGGGGGGAGCAGAATTGTTCCTAGTTGTCTGCTCTTTTTAAAGAAGAGAGGTATCAGACAACATACGTTACTAATTCATTTACAGTCGTAAGTTCCTGCCAGATTCCCATTTGAATGCCTGTAGATCCAGAACATACAGTATATCACTTACTGTTCCATATTTAAGTAGTGTAGGCACTCCTGTTAATTTCAGATTCTTCCTGAATTCATTGTTGGGGTCTTTCCAGCTGTTCAGGAAGAAAGGGTTAACAGCTTGTAGAGGTGCAGTTAAAATTCCTTCAAAAGGATGACTCATAACTACCTCACCCCCCTTCTCAGAGCAAACATGCAGATACATCACATTAGGGATGTGAACTCAAAACCAGTGCTTCATTCCTTGCGGAAGAGCACAGTTCAGTGACTTGTTCCAACAGGTTAGTTAACCTCTAGCCCAGAAACAGCAAAATTGTACTGGTTGTTGGTTTTAAAAGTTACTTACTAGGCTCTGTCTCCTACTAGGCAGTAGATGAATACAGACTCATCAGGCATGTTATGAAGTTCTTTCCTCACAACTGGTTCAGCTGGAAAATAAAATTTTAAGAACTCAATATATTGATACTTTCATCATGCTACAGAATGGCACAGATCTGCCCTGATCAGCAAGCATGCTAACAAACACACAAAGATCTGTGTTTTGTTTCCTCTGGTTATCCGTGAGCTGTGCAGAACTCAGTTCAACCTTGAAGGGACTTGTCTTTACAGCATGTTACATCACTTACCATTCAGTGCAACGCGGCCAGCAAGGGCAGCGCAGGCTGCACCCATTACCTTTAGCTAGCCTCACACCTCGGTGGGACTCCCGGCCGCGGCAACTGCGGCGAGGGCTTCAAACCGGAACTCGGCCCAGGCCGCTCCGATCCCCGGTAACGGAGGCCGGGTGGCTGAGGCCGTTTCGCGCCGGGCGCTGCGCGGGGCTAGGGCACAGACGGCACGGTCCCCGCGGCGAAGAGCGCGAGGCCGCCACAGCGGTGGCTTGGCTGCTGTCGGGGCCTCACGAGGGCGAAGGGCGCTTCCCCAGAACCGGGAGGGTGACGTCGCGCAGGCCTCACCCGTCACGCAGTCCGGGCACCAGCTCTTGCCCTCGGCATCCTTGTCGCCGCAGAAGAGCGCGAAGATGGGCCGGCCGTGGTAGCGCTGCGCCGTCTGCACGAACTCGGGGTACCCGCGGACCTGCTTCTCCTCCCAGCCCATGGTGCCCGAGGGACGCGGCGGGGCGGGGCGCGGGCTCCGCCTCGCCCCGGGCGGTGGTGGGGCGGGGCCCGGGCTCCGCCTCGCCCCTCGCCGGCCGCCGTACTTCCGCGCCCTTCCCGGCGTTCCCTGTGGCGGCGGTCGGCAGGAGCGGGTTTGAATAGCGTCGCGGTAGGTGTCACCGCGGGCTTAGGCCGCTCCACCGTCCGCCCGCCCGCCCGCTTTCCCGCAGCGCAGCGCGGGGCGGTCCCCGGTGCCCGTCTCGGCCGTCCGGATGCCGTGGGGGGAGGCGGAAAGTGGGGCGGGCCGGGTGTGGGCTGTGCGGCTGGAGCCCCCTCGCAAGGGGCGCGTCGTGCGAGGCCCGAGGACAGCTGCGGCGAGGTGAGGAGCAGAGGCAAAGCCTCAGTCGCTTTAAAGAGTTTTAACAGCGTTACGTGTCGGGTCCTGCTCGTTTTCAATTGCCAGAGCGGATGAAGGAGACGCGCACCTGGCTGCCGCCACGCATCGCCCTTAGCTTAAACCTCTGCAAAACTTTAGGCACGAGCATGCCCTTGTTCTGCTTTCCTTTGACATTGATGGTTTTTGTACAGACCGTGTACCTGGAGCAGTGCCTTAAGCTGTCGTGCTGATCTGTTTTCTTAACTGTGCAGTATGCTATTTCCCTTTTAGGTGCATAATAGCTATAAAGTACTGCAGCAATCTTGTGGCTCACGATATGAGCCTCATTGTCTGTAGTGGTGCTCCTCAGCTCTCTGTGGTGGTATGTAAAAGAACGATATAAATTGTAAAATTTACTTTAAATGACAGGATTTGGTACCATCCATGTGAGTGCACGCTGTGCTTTTCATGCCTTGGGGGTGCATGACCTGGGATTGCTTTTGAAAGGCAGAAATAATGTTTGATTCTTCTTATGTTTGTAGTTGTCATTGTAAGGAAAAGACAGATAATTGGAATTTCAGCATCAACCCTGTGTGATGGGACCAAGCAAGGCAACTGTGTCTGATGCTACATTTGCAATCGCTACCCAGCTCTACAGGAATGAAGCAAAGGCTTTACAAACACAGGTATTATTTGACTTCTGCAGCGATGCTGAATCGGCTTTCATTTGTGATTGTTACAAAACGATGACTATGACCGAGATTGACGCTCACTAGCAGGCTGTCTTCATACTTGCTTTCATGATGCTCTCATACATAATCTTCACACTACCTTTTTGTGAGGGTATAGACCAGTAACCACGTCTGTAAATATAATTTATAAGATGATCTAAATGCTTAATTCAAAATAATTTTGAATAATGGTATTTGTCCGAGTGGATGGAATACCTTGCGTGCATTGAAGAAGTACTGTCACAGCAGAATGCATTCTAGTATGAAAGAACATTTGTTTTCCTTACTTTTCGACACTATAGGCACATCCCCTGTGGAAAGTGTCCTGTGTAACATTAGATTTGTTTGTTATTTTTTTTTTTTTTACACTTTGGAACAGCTCCAGTTCAACAGAAATGTTCCTGCAGCTCCAGAGAACCTGGCTCTCCGATTCTCTAACCCCCGTCCAATTATAATAGAAAAACTGAAGGCATCCAATAATCAGAGAAATCTCAGTGGAAGTGAGGACCCCAGCATGAGAAGCTCTGGCATATTTTCAGTGGTATCTGAAGAGAGACTAAAATTGGCTATTCAGCTAGCCAAAAGGGACATAAAACGAAGACAACTTGAAGAGCAAGTGAAACAGCAAGTATTTGGAGATGCTGCCAGTAAACCTCTGTTGGCCCAACAGCAGAAGGCTGAAGTATTTGAAATCTCAGAAAATAAAAATGCACTCAAGCCTCAGACTTGCTTGAAATATCAGCAGAAGCTTGGTCAGGCATCCAAAGTGGAAACTACCACCTCTGGTGCTAAAGTTTATCTCTATACACCAAATAAGGGAATGCTAATACCAGCTGGTCTGGGCTCTCCACCCAGTCATGGCACAGGGCCAGACCCCAAGCCAAGCATCAACAAAAAAGAAGATAAAAACATGCAGGAAGTCCGACGGCTGCACAAGGAGCTGAGGAACTATGTCCAGAAAATCGAAGAATTGACAAAAAAAGGTAAGACTCAACAACAGTCATGTGGTGACAAGGCAATCGTTTACTACCTCCCACAAGTAGATGCAATGCCCAGCTAATCTGTGAGTAATGGCTACCTTCCTTCCCAAAAAAGTCCATTTTTGTTATTGCTGAGCATGGTGTGGAACATGCCTTTGGTCAGTTGGGGTCAGCTGTCCTGGTCATGTCCCCTCCCAGTTTCTTGCACACATCCAGGCTGTGCACTGATAGGATATAGTGCTGTGCAAGTACTGCTCAACGATAGCCAGAACACTGTGGGGCTATCAACACTTTTAGTCATAAATCCAAACCAGCAACATACTGGTGACCGTGAAGAAGACCAACTCCATGGCAGCCAGCCCCAGTGTACACCGCATTGGTTCTTTTGTAATAACTACTTGAAAGTTTTAACTGTTCCTAACTTTGACTGCTTTACCTCCACTGCTGTCATAAAACTAAGAGGTTGTATTGCTTTGGAAGCTATAACTAACAGGCTATATTATATAAGAATGTTTTGTCAAATTCTAGATAGAAACATGATGTAGAGTTAAAATAACTAGCTTGTATTACTGCTCAAGGGAGCCCTGCAAATATGATACCTTGTGTATTGGTTCTGCATGAAAGAGGCTTATTGCTAAACTTCGTTTGTTCTCATGTCTTAATCGGGATTTTTGCAGGTTAAATTAAGACATAAAACTTTTTCATTTCATGCTTTTTAGGTGGAGAGAGAGAAATTTTAGATCCTGATAAAGAGCAGCGAGTTTGCGCTAGGAGACGGGAGCAAGCTGCACGGTCAGCTCGGGTGCTTTATGTGCTCCAGCAACAGGTAAGAATCAGCATTTTGAATTGGGATGCATAGTAGTTAGCTTATTGTGATGAATTTGACAGAAATGAACTGAAACAAGAGAAATTTGATCTGCTTATCTCTGAACTTCCATAGCATTCTAGTTTAGATCTGAATGGTGTCGCTAATTTCTCTTATGACTGGACAGAGATGAGCATCGTTGCTGGAAAATTTAAACCTGGACTCGGACATTATAGTGAAGATTAATTGTTCATTTATAGACACGGAACTCATTCTGACTGACTTTCCCCTCTTCCCCTATTTCTTGATAAACAGGTAAAAGAAATTCAGGATGATTTAGAGAAACTGAGTCCTCATAAAGTCAAACATACGAAAAAGGTAAGATGTAATTATCCTTCAGGCTGTGAGTAATTGAGAGGAAGCTTTCTAGCTAATTGAATTTGTCTAGGGTACGCCTGAGCCCTCCCTAGAAGTGAGATTCTCTTTGTATCTTGCACCTTTCATCTCATTCTCACAGAACTATGTCTCACTTGGTCTGATACTGCCTTTGCTGCTTCCCTCTTCTCCTCGGTTCTTGTCCATCTACAGCAAACCAAAGAGGAAGGCTCTTGGTCTGCTTTTATGTGGCTCCTAATTCCTTCTTCATTCCAATTCCTTTTCTGAATAACGCTGGGCTCTACTCTTGCCTTTTTCTAACTTTCCATTGATGTCAGTCTTGTCAGCCCCTTTGTGCTTTTCTTCTCTGATCAGCATCTTTCAGAAAGATAGTACTGAGATTATGCCTGTTCTTTGGCCAGTACTGTCCTGTTGTTCTCTTGTGCTTTTCCAATACATGTATTTTATTCTGTAATAAAAGGCGGAGGAAGGAGAGTGTTCTATGTGCAGTTGTTGCACATCAGGATCAAGCCCATGACTATAGTACTCTGTTGGCATAGGTAGTGGAAACATCTGAATGCATTATAACCAGGCTATTTTATCTGAATACGATACTTGATATGAGTACTCATATGTAGTACTTCAGTAGGTTACTTAAATGCCTGTTTTATTTTGTCTCACAAATGCCCTCATATCCGTCAGAGTTATTGCAAGCCTGAGTGTTTCTCCATGTAATATTGGTGACAGTTCTTCAAATAATATCAATATTCATAGAAACTGTAGCTATTAAAACGTTTATGTTTCATTTTCCAGTCTCGAGCAGTATCCAGGTTGGCGGCAGCACACAGAGGAGCTGTACGAGCCTTGCAGGCATTTGCCAATCAGTTTACAGATCAAACAGAGCAGCAGATTCCTACCCACTACAAGGAACTGGGCAATCTCATTCGACAGCTGTCCCTCTGTTCTTCCAAACTAGAAGTGGATTCTTCCATTTCTGATGTTATCCTAGATATTTTGCTGCAAGTTGAAGTAAGAAAAAACTCTCTGTTTTTGTTAAGGCAGAAAAGACAGTGAAATACAAAACTGTAAATTGTGTTGTGTGTTCATGAATGGCAGAATATTGAACTGGGGTTTGGGAGGTTTTGCTGTTAGTTTTTTGGGGGGGGGGTTGAGGCTGTATTTTCACATCTATAAATGTGTAAATGTGTTCCTAAGTAATGGTGGTGTAAAATAGACTTGCATCCTAAACATGGAAGCTACCTGATGCCGCCCTTGTTGATGCCCTTCAAATGCCTTTTGTTAGTGATATCTGATGTCTTAAAACATGTTGGTATAATAGAAAAGTTCTGATTCACATTTCCTGCTGTAATTCCTACCTACAAGACTTACTTTTTTTTAAAGTAAGAGCCTATGGAACCTGAACTGTTATAAAACCAGTATTTTAATTAACTTGAAAGCAACTGATACCATAGTCATAAGATATTTTCCTTAAAATATTGTTCTAACTGTAAGAGCTGTGTTTTTATTTTTATTGTTCTGCACTGCTTATGAAAACAGTAACAGTGCTGACTGCCTGGGAATTGCAAAGGAGGTAGGATTCTTTGAGTTTGGACTTGTCATTGGAAGACATGTCTGTCTTCCCTGAGCTCTCTGGGCTTTTGTCGTTTTTCTTTGGTTTTGTCTGTAGCCTTTGTGTACGTTTCTTTTTGAACATGCGGTAAGCAGATAATTTGCTGGGGGTCAATTGTAAATACAAAACCACAAGTCTTTTCTGTAAGGTTTAAGCTTTTC